CGAAGAAGTGCGTATTTTTGGGCTATGCAGGGTCCAACTACCACGTGCTTGATGAATCGGGCCGTGTCTTCATCTCTCGTGACGTTGTTTTTGACGAGGGGCATGTGCATCGCACTGTGAGTGTGGGGGAGACTGAGACAGAAGTCCCACTCACTGTGCAGGAGTCTAACACGCCCTCTACCACACCTGTTTCTGTTCCCCCTACTTCCTCTGTTCCATCAACGACTCCATCAGTTCCCGTGGAACCAGTTTTACGCCGGTCATCACGTTTAACTCGCCCTAGTGACAACGCTACTGAGTCTCTATTATCCGAACAACGTGAAGCCGATGCTCGAGACCGCGGAGATGAATGGGCAACTAACAGCAGAAGACCATGAGCATCAATGGCTGCAGCTGAGAACGTGCCTGATTCATATATCCCAAAGAATTATCGAGACGCCATGCGGGTTGATGAAGAACGCTGGAAGGCTGCGATGGATGTTGAATACCAGATGCATATGATGAAGCACACTTGGGACCTTGTCGACACGCCAGAGGGAGCTAATATAATGGATTGCAAATGGGTCTATGGGATGAAGTGGGATGGCGATGGAAAGTGGTTGTGGGATAAGGCGAGACTTGTAGGGAAGGGTTATACGCAGCAATGGGGCCTGGATTATAATGAGACTTGGGCTGCCGTCACTCGCCTTGACCCCGTTCACATGTCTGCTGCCATCGCCACCAAACTCGACTTACACCTATGGCAAGTGGACTTCGTATCAGCCTACCTGAACAGCGAGACAAAGGAGGACATCTACATGCGCCAACCACCAGGATATGTCATCGAAGGACAAGAGGAGAAGGTGTGCAAGCTGGTTCATACGATTTATGGGACGATGCAAGGCGGTCATGACTGGTTCGAGACACTCGGGAAGACATACGACGACCTGGGATACAAGACTTCTCAGGCCGACCCATGTGTACGAACGATTGGCGAGCCAGGTAGCAATTATACCCTCACAGATACATATACCGACGATGTGTGGGGGGCGTCTTCGAGCATAGATGAGGCTAGCCGAAGGAAAGGGGAGTTGAGGGAGAAATGGGAGCTTAAGGATGTGGGGGAGAACCACTACTTCTTGGGGATGAAAATCGACCAGGACCTCGATGCCGGGACTATATCTTTCTCTCAGCGACCGTACTGGGAGAACGTCGTTGAGGATTTTGGCCTTGAATACATCACGGTACGCTCGACCCCACTGCCTGTTGGAATTGTACTCGATAGCTCTCAATGCCCCTCAACCCAAGCTGAGAAGGACGACATGGCTCAGTACCCGTATCAATGTCTCTTGGGCCGAGTTATGTGGGGGCAGCTTGCAACTCGACCTGATCTCTGTTACCCAGTGAGCCTTCTGGCTCGTTTTCAGACTAACCCAGGGATGGCCCATTGGTGTGCACTATTGCATGTCGTCGCCTATATCAAAGGGACTATGGACTATGGGGTCATTTTCTCCCGAGACGAACCACTGATGCCAGTTGGGTTCGTCGACGCTGACTACGGAGGTTGCCGGGATACTGCTCGCTTGACCTCGGGCTATGTTTTCACCATGGCTGGGGGGCCTGTCTCTTGGAGTTCGAAACGCCAGGCTGCTGTAGCACTCTCAACCGTTGAGGCCGAGTATATTTCTCTCACTCGCGCCGCCCAACAAATGATGTGGATGATGTCATGGATGGACGAGGTGAAGCTACCGCACTCACGCCCAGGAGTTCTGTATGGTGATAACCAGGGGGCAGTTGCGCTTACAACGAACACGAGGGCCCACCATAAAGTGAAGCATATCCGCATCCGCGAGCATTATATTCGGGAGCTAGTCAAAGACGGCGAGTTACGTGTCGATTTCATTCATGGAAATTCAAATCCGGCTGATATGTTCACCAAGGCTCTCCCTCGGGATGTTCATCATGGCTATCTTGACGATCTCAACATTGCACCTGTGGCATAGTACGGATATGGGGGAGTGTTGGAGGATATCCGTACAGTATACCAAGTTTCCTTATCTTTCTCCCGTCGTTTGTTTTACTTACTATATATATCTTACCTCCTGTCCTTGACTCGATCACTATATAGCTTAGCCGTCGATACCCGAGTACCTCAGTCGTTCCACCTTCGCTGTGCCCGACTGAGGTACGTATACCTTACTGTCTCTAGCTTATAACTTACTCACACTCATTCATACTAGATCATTACTTATATCCTTTGTCTTTACCAATAAAATAAAACTTGCTCACTAGATAAGTTGCGTGGCACTGTAATTAAATCCGCGGAGCCAATAAGAAGACACACGCTGCATGGCACGATGAGGCTAGGCCTTGCCAAGTGGAGAAAACAGCGGTAGCACGCGTGCCGACACGGAGTGCTGAGTAAAATAATGATTACTATCACTATGGCTGACGCAGCATGCAAGAGAAGGGAGTCCGAGGTGGAGCGTTGTCTATTTTCAGTATTTACATTTCATATAGTTAACGGTAAATATAAGAGCAGTAGTTACAGGTAGTTAGCAAGTTTTCAGACCCCCACAGTTGTACTACGAAGCAGCATGCTTAGTGTACGACGAAAGGATTTTATTTGAAGCTTCGAGCGAGAGAGTATTATTGAACTTAGAATTATTTTGAACACTTTGAGAGCTCACGAGGCACGCCTTGCTCGAGCGCGCTTGATTTGTTCAAGTAAAGTACAGTAATTGATTGTGCTCTACTTAGAGAATATTGTATTGTGATAACTTGAATGTGCATTTGTGTTTTTTTGGAACTTGTTTGTAAATTCCGAGTTATTGCAAGTGGCAGAGGTTCGAACCCTTTGGCTTGTCAGTAATCTCTGAGGTTTTTTTGGTTCATTCCCAAGTGGCATAGGTTCAAACCCTGTGGCTTGTGGACGTGTTTTCTGTGTTTGTGTATCTCTGGATCGCATAGGTTAGAACCCTGTGGATCTATGAACGGGTTTTGAAGTGTTTTCTGCTTGGAGTGCAAGGCTTTAAGTCGTGTTAAGTGTATTGTGAAACGTTGTGGACACTTGTGTGTTGCGCGCGATGTATTTTGAGGGTTATACGTTCTTGTAGAACATTTGGGGGCTTGCGAAATAATACTTTTGCCTTGAGGCCGAGCGATTCTGTCGCTCACCTCCTGTTCCAAAAGCATTTGGACTTGGAAGATTATTATATTGCTAAGCGCGCTATATTATATTGTAACGTGCAAGGATTATTTCAATACTACTGCTATTGTGTGCTTGTATCACACATCACCCCCGAACTACTGAGGGTTTGTGTGTGTGTGAGTGTGAGTGTGGGTGTGTTAGTGTTATATACGCTAGTGCATTTCTAGCTTGGCGCACACAGAGCCTCTTCACCATCGGCACGTCGGTGTGCGTGACATACCCAACGGTACGTCATCCCCTCCACTTTGTCGCTCTTTGTCAAAGTCTCATTGCAGACCATCGATTGATGTTGATACGGCCTGATAAGCAAGGATCTGAGCTCTAAGAGTTTGCCAGAGGTGCTCGCAATGCGTTTAGTATGTACGTTGTTTCTCCTATGGAACTACATAGTACTGATAGTGCCATATAGTTTTTGTTGAATGGAGCACGAGAGCTAACCAGTGAGCACACTCAAGGCATCAAGTCTTCGATGGTGTTGAACACAGGTACGTACCATTATCCTGGTTGTAGGCATAGTACTGACCCTGACTTTAAGCATAAGCAAACATGGGGAGAACCGACGAGCGTGCAACAGCTCCATCCAGGCTAAATATAGAACATGCCTGTCAACTCGCACGCACTCCCCGCAATCCCTCTGTCCTCCTAAGCGGACGATCTCACCACCTCAGCTCAACGATAGCTTCTTCTGACTGGTTCTCACTTCCATAACCTGTTGCCACAGGATCCCCCATCTTAGCTTGCCCAAAGCACAGTGGGGAAGTCATCACACTCCCACCTCCGTGCATCTCACAAGTAACGTCAGTACAATACCCTAATAACCTGCCCACAAAACACAGAGGAAGGAACCAACATACCTGCGTGATCCTAGTAATAGGATCAAAATAATGCAGTGTGTTACTACTCCATGCAAAGAACATGACATACAAAACCAACGACACTGCATACAATGCTGAAGGCTCCAGGACAGGCCGGTACACCCCCACGCTATCTATCACATGCGCGGGAGCCAGTAGCGGTTCAGGTCAGCATATTGGTTGCATGTTACATACATCCCATGATCTGTGCGCACAATCAACCAGTCGAGGGAGAAAGTGGCGGGGGTGATGATATAGAGGAGGACGATGACAATGATCATTGGGGGCCCAATTGTCGGGGTTTGTGCTGGGATGTGGGCATGGGCTCGCAGATGTTTCATAGGGTGACAGCAATGATACACCTGTGCGGGGTTAGATCATCTCATCTCAGTGCAAAGTTGGTGGACATGTACGTACATTGGAAGAGAGGCAAGGATTACTCTATCCATTTCAACCTTCATTTTAAATTAGCACCTTCTTGATATCCGTGTCAGTCATGCACAAGTATCAAAGCATTCCCGGATCGATAGAAATTTCACCACGGCTCTTCAAGCGCCGGTTGTGTCAACGTGTTGATCGATTGGCTATTCTGTTATCTTGTATGCCCCTTTCTTGTAGTACCGGAACGACAATTTCATCGCTGGCCTATTGCCACGGCACAGTAGCCTCCCTCTCACCTCAGCTGAAGTATTGATCATATAAATTTTGTTCGTATCAATGGGCCATCTCTACGATGCAATCTCCTTCTGAGTATCGTGAATTTGCGCCATCTATTCACGGTCTTTTACAATGCCCTGTCTTTGCCCTTCACATGCACTCTATTGACGTACTGACATTTTCCACAACTGTTACTCACTCTGTTCCACAACTGTTATATCAGGGTCATTCACTACTCTCTCTGGTTGGGCTTCAGGTTCCAGGACATCGTCCTCCATGACACTTGGCACAGTGTCTTCCTAGAAACACGTCTGAGTTTGCACGCACTTGTCTTCACTCTCAAGCTGAGCTTCAAGGTCATCATCAATACTTGCGATAGTACTTCCCTGAGAGCTTGTCGAGATCTGATTCCCCCCAAAGCGAAGGGAAGACATCACGCTTCCCTCCCAGGAATCATCTGGGCGAGCATATCCCACTGCGACCCGCCCAACGATAAGTGTCGGTGCAATCCCCTATGTATGGTGCATGTTAGATGACCAAGCAAGGGAAGAGTATCAGCTTACCCTTGCAACTGCGGCTACAGAATCAAGGTAACTTGCCCCCAAATTGTTGCGAGTGACGAAAGCCACGTATAGGATCAAGGCAACGGAATAAAGGGTCGAGGATTCAACTAAGATTTCGATAGTACAGCGATAAGCTCTGAGGTTGCCACCGATGGACAAGATATGGTAGACGATCCCCAGAGTGTACCATATCATGGTAACGAGGTTGAACGATACATAAAGTACTGGGTAGAGTAGGTTAATTTGGTTTCTGTGAGCGAATACCATGTACATGTTGATGCTTTTGAATGCTGGAACCAGGGTAAGTTCTTGATAAGAGGATCCGGAAGCAACAGAACATCTCACCGATACTAGAGACTAAACAAAGAGTAGGAAGGAGAACAATGAGCCAGTGCCGGCCCCAGATCACCCAACAACGCCAGATCTAAGGGCTAAGCAGTGAATGGAGGTAGGATTCTCAGACTCGGCAGAATCTATGCACCATGATAGAATCTGCAAGGATGTTACATAGGATTCCTGTGATTCCCATGCTCAAAACTGCTTTGTCGCTGGTATCACTGAGCATGAGATACATAGTCCAAAAGTTTTGTCTGTTAGTCATGGTGATGAATGCGGAGTGCACAAATGACCAGTTCAAAGCGAACCCAATGGAAGTCAGGGTGTAGATGAGAATGATGACGATGATCATAACATTTCTGATAGGTCAAGATTTGTTCATGTCTGTGGGAGTTGCTTTAGCTCAGAAGACTCATGGTCGACACGGTCAACTCACAGTTGGTCCACAGGGTAACAGCAAGAACACCAGTGTATATGCCTGGTGGACATGAGCATTCAAGTTTGGTTCAAATGTCAGCATGCATACCATGTAATAGAAATTCAAGTATAACAGTATTTAACCTAGTGTCAAGGCCTTGAAAGATGAGATTTATCTCATTGTCAGTGAGACCCTCCGGTATATTGGTCTGAGAGGTTATGTGGATTAAAACTTAGCAAAGGTCGGTTTTGAAGGTACACACACCCTATTATACTGGTGCATCGAGAATTTTCATGAGTTGGTCAATGTGCTATCAGATCCTCGCCGGAGTCATAACGATGATATCTAAAAATGTTATGCAGCTCAATTGTCAACTGAACACGTAACGATGAAGAGTATAGTCTGAGATGATCATCAGGAAAACATAGTACGAGGGTGGTTTCCTGTCTGTGCTGCCCTGTCGAAATGATCGGCATTTGGCAAAGGTCCATCCATCTCCAAGAGCGAATCTGTCGCAGTAGAGTTGGGCGAACGATTATCAGGTAGCATGAGTCTTGAGGTAGTTTTGGCCATTCCAGATAGCCATGATATCTCACAACCTTATTACATTGTAATGTCGGCAATGATGAAACAGACGAGGTGCTATCATAGTCATTGCATACTACAAAGACAATCAGGAACTTCAGTTCCACTGAGCAACAAACAGGTGCACCTCAACCATCTCAGTGTCTTGAAGAAGTCAGACATCCATCAGACCCTAATTGATGCTATGTACAGTAACCACTGCAGGCCAAAAATCCCTTTAGCAAGTCTCCATGACCATTCCGTTTTGTTGTGATTGACCGTTTGACAAAGAGGGCTTCAGAAACGAGTGAAAACCACTCCAAATGACTGGTATTTCGGTAAGGGGTTGGCGGCTGCTGCTTGTCGGAGTTGTGGCGGGATGCATCATGCTCGCCGGATGGCTCAGCACAAACATGGGACTCCAGGTCGATGGTGGCAAGGAGGTCATTGGTGGTAGATACCACGTCTATCAGCAAGATCTTGGGCTATGGAAAAGGTGAGTATGACTGAATGCAAACAAGGGACAAGACCTTACCATCTCCACAGCCCCTCCAGCACATATCTTTCTTCCCACTCCATGTCTTTTCCTGTTCATACCCCCGGGCTTGCTTGTCAGATGAAGATACATCGTCTCAGAGAAGAACACGTTCTTGACATCACAGAAGGTTTGCTCCTTAGTCGATGCCGGTGGAAGCATGAAATTGCACATCTTGAGTGCTTTCCGAGACCATTGTTTGAGGAAAAGAGGCAGTGGAAGCGAGATCAGGCATATGGCTGTGGAGGAGGTCAGTACCCTTGAATGTAAGCGAGGAAGGAGACCTGCCATCTGCGTCCACAACCTTCTGGACTCTGCCTCTGCCCCTGAACCGGCAAGGCGACGAGCATGATCCTGTGTCCTCGTTTGCGAAATTTTGACGTGCTGTCTCAGCCCAACAGTCGATTTCCTTCATTAGAAGACATGCCATCGTTGAGACATTGGCACGAGGAATGGTGGTGTGGATCCGAAATCATTGCATTGAGAGGAGAGGGAAGGATATCAGGGTGATTTTCGAATATCTAGCCCGAGTGCCAACGTTGAAGTCCTCCTCATTCATTAGCTGCGGGACAACTTATTTGTCAATATCTGGGTTTGATTTTGAATCAGAATGCCCGCTAAAATTAATGGTGAATATGAATAGTGATGAACGAAATGTCGCATGGCGGTGAGAGGAAAGAAGCTTGGTCTGACATCATGTCGAAGGTCAAATTTGACCAAATGTTCCATTTTGGTTATCAACGCCCATGCAGGATGCGTCGACTGTACTGTACATGCCAGTGTAGTCCCGAGACAGCAGTATGAGGAACTTGTACGTGGTTATATAGTTAGTAGGTGTTAGGATTTTGAAACCTGACATGTTTCCCTATTCCAAACAGTTACCGGTTACCGCCTCCCAGTTCACTTTGAAATTCAGGACGACGTCCATACTTTATTTTCTAACACTTGTCACTAGACTTGATGGTGAGTCATCTATCTTTTCCTTTTTCCCGTTTGCTCATGATGGTTTTCGTTTGTTAAGTTTCACATCATCGCTACAATTCCGTAGTCGTGGTTGGTGAACATGCAGTGATGTCGATGATGCGAGCGCATATGAGAAGGTGAGCTGCTACTATACCAGTTTTTCAGTGGATTACTCATGACATGTCTCCTAGTATATAGTGATTTGCCCAAAATATCCAACACTTGAAGCTTGAGGGAGCTTGAACTTGAGTAGGAGTACGGGGCTGAAGCGCTGAAGGTGCGTAAACCAACTTTTGGTCAATTTCTCCCTGCTCACCTCTCTCGTTACTCAGCACTTTTTCAAGCACATCTCCCCTCCACCATCCCCAACAAATCAAATACGCAGCATACCCAAGGTGACACCTCCCTCATCCCATTGCGTCTCGCTGACGCGTCATTTTTAGAGCGTGCCTGAGCTAGTCCACACACAATTGATAAAGGAGATCATGATCTATGGCACACAATAAGGCCAAATTTGAGGCTTATCGAGGCTGCTGAGGCTAGAGATGCATATACCAGGTTTCGGTGGGGCCTTTATGCCAGCATTACGAACTCTGGTTAGGTTGTCACATCGGTTAGGGGTCAAGGAACTCGCGTGGGAGATCATGGTACATATATTGCCACCTTCCCTCCTTATATTGCTGAACCAAACTCTGATAGGCTTCTATTGCGAGAACACAGCCAAGTTGACGACCAAGTTGAATGTCAGTATGCGCGGTCGTGCATGTCGCTTTCGCTACACGAAGTTCAAGGTGTGTGCTGCTAGTCTTTGAGAAATTTCCTTATCCTGACCTTTCGTCTCTTTTCCCAGGACTCTGAATGCATTCCTCTCCCCACAACGGTCCCACCAAGTCGTCGGTGCATGCAGAATATGCAAAGGTACGTCATCCCCTCCACCTCGTCATTCTTTGTTGAAGTCATCTTTGCAGCTCATTGATCAACGAGGCCCGATAAGCAAGGATCTGAGCTCCAAGTGCTTAATGCAGCTCACAACGTCATGTTTTCCAATGAAAATACGATGTGCTAATCATGCCATGTAGTTCTCGTTGGTTAGAACAAGAGAACTGGCTGGTGAGTCTGCACTTAATTCATCGAGTCTTGTCATGATAGTATCAAATGCGGGTATGTACAATCATCCCAGTCATAGTTCTAGGACTGACCCTGACTTTTAAGCATAAGCAATTATGGGGAGAGTCGGCGGGGAGACAGAAGGATAGTCGACATAGCACCCTGTTGTATCTGAGCAGCGTTTGAGTCAGCGCACATGGAGAATGTTCAGGGAGTGTGATGGTGTGCGGATGAGCATGTGCATAGACGTACAGAGGGGGTTGCACAAGTCAACGAGCCTGACATATATCTGGTCTGGATGAAGGGGCAAATTTAGATGGGAGTGTACCCAGCTATCTTGACTAGGCTCATCCTTCTACGCGTATGCTATTGTATCTACGGCCCAGACGCAATGACTGTTTTTATAGCCTCTCTGTCCTGTAACAATTATACAGAGGAATAACACACTCCGGAAACATGTCATTACACACGTAAAAGATGCGACTCATCTTGTTATTTCAAGATAGTACCTACGAGTAGCTACATACAGCAATGGTGAGTATGTAGAGAGGTTATACAGTGTCAAAGGGCAGAGAAATGAGCACCGTAGACCGATTCCTATGGTAACTCCTCCAAATGAGAAACTCAGACTCAAGGCTGAAATAAATGATGACGTTGACCGAGGTCATCAATGTCCTGTATGAAGGGCGACATGTTCAGACTATTATATACTTCCTCCAGCCTCTTTGTCATCCGGAGTGACCATTTCCATGCCATCCTCCTGAGATCCATATTTGTTGTTACTTTCCCCGTCCAGCTGATCCTCCAGGTCACCACTGTAGAGGCTTATACTTATCAGAGTATCTTCTTGAGCACTCGCCCGAGCCTGACCATGCCCAAAACAGAGCGACGTAACTATGCTGCCCTGCCACGAGTCGTCAGAACGAGCATGTCCTGCTGCAACACACCCAACAAGGAGAGTTGGAGCGACACCCTGCCACATGCTAAATAAGCAAGCAAGTAGGTCTGAGAAAGGATATTCACGTACTCTTGCGATTCCTGTTATGGGATCAAGGTAATTTGCTGCCCAGTCATTGTGGGCAAAGAAGGCGATGAATAGGATTAAAGACGTGGAATAGAGAGCTGATGACTTGATTAGGACTTCAACGACGTGCCAGTAGGCTCCGAGTCCTCGTTCTCTTGCTCGTCCCACAGTCCAGACATGGTATATGATGAGCAATGTGCACCAGAGTGTCGTAGCTAGTGAGAAGGATGCATAAAGCACTGGATTGAGTAGGTCGTTGACGGCTCCATCTATGACCTGTCAGCGTAGGAAGATAATTTTAAACACTGTAATAAACCTGGGATTATGTAAAGCAAAAGACAGAAGAGATCGATGGCATTACCGATAGCAGACACTAGACAGAGAACAGGAAGAAGCGTAGTTAACCAGCGCCGTCCCCAGACCATCCAACAACACCAAATCTAGAGTTTAGTTGGGAGTAAGGGACCTGGATTGATTTCCTGACAAAAGGTAGGTCAGACGTACCATGGTAGAATCTGCAAGGATAGTACAGACAGTGCTCGCAGTTGAGGTGCTGCCACACACACATCTTCTCATCCCGTTCCTTCACAGGGCACTCAACTATCTCAATATTGTCACTGTAAGAGGGTTCAATGTTTCCAAGTTCCACATTTTGTCTATTAATGGACGGACGAAGCAGACAGTTGGTATATCTGTTTCTAAAGCTGACCATGACTACGCTGCGATAGCATCAACAAATGTATGGGTCCCTTAATGATGTACACACCTGAATGTGGGCGAGGAAAAGGATACTCGCCATCTTGCTCCCTAGTCTCTGCTCACTATCAAATCTCTCCCCCTTCTACCCTCGCTCATGGGATTTTGATGCATCGTCTTGGTCCAAATATTGATTTCTTGTGGTTAGACCGTGACGTGTGATTGCTGGTAGATGTGTTGCCAGTGTGGCATAAGGAACAGCTGGCGTTGGCCCAAGGGGGTAATTATTACTGCAGGAAGGATATGACCATGCGTCAGGAGAGGTGATTCACTTTGAATATCCAGTTAGGTACTAGATTTCGAGCATCGATATTAATTTTGAGGTCCCGTTACGACTGTTTTGGCTTGAATCAGAATGACGGTTATGAATACTGGTCAGAATATACTCACATAGTGCTTGAATACTATCGAAGGAGTACACTGCAGCACAAGTTGAAGTAGTGAGAACGATGGGGTCTTGTTTGACTTCACGCTGATGGTCCAAATAGTCTATTTTGATTATGAACACCCATCACCATCATGCTCGCAAGACGCGTCGACTTTACTGCACACACCAGTTACTGCCTGCCATGAAATTCAGGATGACCCTCATATCTTCTTTTCTCACTGGTCGATAGTGGACCATCTGTTTTCTGACGATTTTCTTCTGTTCAGCATCGTGTCGGGTCAACGCATGCCCAGCGACGGCTATGAAAAGGTGAGCCCACTATTGTACCAGTTTTCTGGTAGTTTAGTCATGACATTTCTCTTAGTATATCATGTCCGAAAAATTCAATGCCTGGATAGGAACATAGGACTAAAGGTGCATAAACTAATTTTTGGTCAATTTACCCTTGCTTATCTTCTCTCTAGCACTTTCCCTCCCCTCCCCTCCATCACCAGTACCCCCGACAAATCATACACCCATCATGCCCGACAATAGTATGGGACCTGTGTTCCGCTGACGCGTCTTTTTTGGAGGCAGAATCGGCAAGCGAGTGTCTGCATACGATCGATGAGGAGATCAAAGCTCGATGGCATGCGATAAGGGTAAATTTGAGGCTACCGAGGCTTAGGACACATATACCTGGCTTTGGTAGGCCCTTTACACCAGGATTACGAACTCTTGTTAGGTTGTCGCATCGGTTGAAGGTTAATAAACTTGCGTAGGAGATAATGGTACGTATTATTTCCTACCTTCCTTCTTATAGTGCTGAACCCAACTCTGGCAGGCTTCTGTTGCAAGACCACAGCGGAGTCGATGACCAAACCAAAGGTTGGTATGCTTTCATTTCATAAAGGTACCCGCAAAGTTCAAGGTGTGTGACACTATTCCTTAAGGAACTCCCTCGACCTGACTTTCCCCAAGACTCTATTGCCCAAGATGGTCCTGTCAACATGTCAGTGCATGTAACATTCCCTATCATCGCCCTTTGTCGAAGTCGCCTTTGTAGACCGTCGATCAATATTGCGGCTTGCAGGAGCTTTCAACGCATTTGGCAAGCACGTTTCTTGCAGCAAAAGTATGAAGTGCTGATCTTGCTACATAATTTTCATTGGGTTCTGGCCAGCGAGTCTACACTCAGTCATGTGCATCAAGTCTTATCACAAATGCAGGTGTGTACCATTATCCTAGTCATAGTTGTAGTACTAACCTTGACTTTAAGCATAAGCACACATGGGAGAGTCAACAGGCAAGGCAGAGGGAGTTCGAAGTAGCACCCCATCATTAAGAGTCGAGATGAGTGTATGTGCGGAATACGGATGGACAGTTGTATGCAGGGAGGGCTTGACGTACATTTAGCCTGAATGGAGGACAAGTCCCTCCCTCTATATGTACGCTGTTGTACCCATTGTCCAAACAGCAATGTTTATGTTTTTACAGCGTCTTCCCTATCTAAATATATCATACAGGATAAGCGGATGACCAATTTAATCATTTGCCAAAATCTCAGCACCTCAGCTCAATGATAGCTTCCTCCGACTGATTCTCCATCTTATCGCTACTACCTTCCAAGTCCCCCCTGTTCACCCCCACGAGCTTCAACATCTTCCTCAAATCCAAAACCCGTCAGCATAGAATCTCGCTAGGAGCTCTTCCCAGTCTTATCCTGCCCAAAGCGCAGCGGAGAAGTCATCACACTCCCATTCCACAACTCCTCCACACGCACACGCACATGGCCCACTGCAACACAGCCCACAAGTAGCGTCGGTGCAATACCCTAAGGCCTACAATCAACAACCCACCTCCTACTAGAGGAAAGAAACGTACCCTCGTAATCCCAGCAATAGGATCAGCATAATAGAGTGTGTTACTTCCCCATGCAAAGAATGCCACATACAAAACCAACGAGACTGAATACAGTGCTGAAGATTCCACTGAGACCTCGAGGACATGCCAGTACGCTCCCACACCATCTATCACCCGCACGACAGCCAGGACTCTGTAGATCATGAGCAGGGTGCACCAATTCCATAGGGCGGTGGCGATGGTACCAGTGTATAAGCCTGTGCAGGGTTAAATCATCTCATCTCAGTATGAGGTTGGTGGACATGTACCTCGGAGGAGAGAGGCAAGGATCACTCTGTCCATCTTGGAGCCGATATGAGAGAGGACGTCTGCTTTTTCAGCATTGGTAGGGCTTGGTGGGAGACCTGCTCGCAGAGTGAGAGGAGCTCAATTATATGCTGCGGTCCCACTAGTGATGATTTCCAGCAGCGAAAAGCTCTCCACGATATGGATTATGGTGTGCAGGTAGATTAGGGGCTCTCAATCTGCTCTTCGACATGATGGTGTTAATCCTTCTCGTCCTGCTTGTAAAACTGAGTATTGTAGCTGCGAGAGAGAGAGAGAGGTTAGCTAAAGCCAGATGAAAAGAAAGATTTACTCGACGCACATAATGGGAATGTCCTCCTGCATAAGCCCCGTCACGTTCACCGGGATACCAACTTCACCACCTCTCCAAGTGCACTCGTACATCAACAACATTACACATCCGGATTAATGAGGTCAAGATACCCCAGCGAAATGATGCTCGACCCATCCTGAGTAAGTGCCATGTCCTTGATAAGACTGGAATCTGTGATGCCAAGAATGATGGGATCCTCAAGGATATAGTCGAGGGAGACGTATTTGGTGATGTTGATGTGGGTGTGCAGTCGAGAGTGCTCTTGACGAGGAGGGGGTTGGTCACTGTTGCTGGGAAAGGGAAGGGAAAGAGCGGACCGTTCAATGAGAGGCTAGAGTGAGTGAGGATGAGTGCTAGGAGGGGGAAGACGTGTTTGGCTATTGGGCTGTTGGAGATGTAGATGAGTCCCTCCCAGAGCATCAATGAGGTCCCCAGTCAACGAGGAGGGAGCACCGTAGGCGAAGGCGAGGGTAGAGAGGAAGAGGAAACAAACAGCATTGGTGGTAGGCAGCGCGCGCATCATGGAGGAAAAGATGATGAATCATGTATATTTTCCCTGGAACACAGAAGCGCGAACCTGAGTGGGGGTTGGGGAGTATGCAGACAGTTATTTATCAAGTTCTTGACACCGCGTCCTGTGTTGAGGTGACTGTGCAAGCACGACTCGAGGTTGTGGTGACTGAAGTCGGCTATCCGGATGGATACTGGTATTATGCATTGCCTGGCACCCTCGGATAACAGTCGGACTTGACGAGGGCTGCCTGAGCTGAGGTAAGCTGCTGTGGATAGGGAACGCATGACATTGAGAGGAAGAAGTGGGTGCACTGCCACTGCTGCCAGTGGATTGACGTGACCCTGGTTCTCCAGCTACAACCAACACCAGCATCCAAATAATCCGTCAAATATCTGTAACAGACACACTCTCCCACTTAACCCATGACTTCTCCGTATTTGCCCCCATCTTCTCGTGCGGATCCTTGACTATGTGTTTGAGGGAAAACTACATAGGAACACGGCCATGGACCCCACTGACTGTACACAGCTTATTATCAGTCTACCCTCAAAAATCAACCAACACATTAACACCCAGGACCAACGATCTCCAGTACCTCAAGCTGGCTCAGAGTGAACCCAGCGAACTGTCCCTGTCAGTTGAATACCATCATTGCCAACAAATATTCTGAATTCCCAGAAGTTACTTCTCAGGCAGGGAGTCACACTGGAGGAAACGATCCCTCTGTAACAGGTGGTCTTGTGCTTTGACAGGATCAGTAAGGCTTGTCGCCATTGGAACTATGAAATAACATAACTGGTGTCTTCATGATTGCTAGGAAAACAATCCAACAATAATGTATCCTTATGCAGCTCACGTCGATGATGTGTAACTCCAACATCGTCAATGTCTTCCTGCTACTCAAGAAGGATGGCCCCAGACCACGGCTAGTGGTAATTGTACAATCTTTTCCCTTCCTGTCTATGACCTGATATGTCCTTGAAGGCTGGTATTGGGACGTATTGCATTCCCAACATGGCTTCGCCTATTGCAACCAGCCTCAGTAGTCACTATGATCAACAGCATGATCGGCATTCATCTTGATGCATTTGTTATGGGTAACTTGACTGGCTTCTTCCAGGAGATCATATTCACTGACCCAGCCTTTCTAGATGGATATGAATACTGTATGCACAATTTTCTCCATTCCCATTTAATTTGCTAATCATGTGGCACCCTCATAAACAAAGCTGGGGTTAAGATTTGTGTTTTTAGGTATATTTTCTATTGTCATTCAATGCACCATCACATACTTATCAGCTGAAATGGACCTAGGTTTTCCTGTGGTGCCTATGTCAGTCCTGTTTGATGTGCGCCTTCATCTGTTTCTGACTCTGTATATCTAGATGGCCCAAGTCCTCACAGGGATGCAAGTCGGTCTTGCCACCTCTCTAATCTCAACATCTACAGGATACATAAGATATGAAAGTCATTCCGGAACTGAACATCAGCCATACCAATATTGAATTGAATAGATCAGACTTCTCCCTTGATGCAACTACCAACAAACCCCATCTGCCTACTGCATGTATCTGTATGAAGACGACCTCAGCTGGGCCTAAAACACAGCTTTCAAAAAAATATGTTCCATCAACATTGATATCAACTTCCTCAGCATATGGTATGAAGACTTCTTCTTTCCCTTGCCTTCTGCCCAAAGTTAATTTAACACTCTGATTAAAGGGAGTCAACACTGTCAATTCAGTAGGAATCATCCCCCACCAAGTCTTTGTCACTATTTTGAATAACACATATAGCATTTCTGCTGTGTGTTAGCCCTGAATGAGCATCGCATTCAGTTCAGACCCACCTTATGGTGCTGTGTTCACCTCAACCCATTGGTTGTTCAGCCCAGTGAGATGCTCAAGCCCCAGCATCATCACTCTTTGAAGCCATACCATGAGAAAACTCTCCTCTAGTGTGAGAGAGAGTGTGATGCATTCTCAAGTTGCCATGTAGATACACTGACAGATGTGGAGAAAGTCTGGTTTGTGAGATGTCACTGCAGTCCATACCTCTCCTTCACATCTCAAAAGCCATAGCACTGACCTGACCCTTTTCAGACATTGGCAGAGGATCCATAGCTACTGGTATTCATAACTTGGCATGTACACCTTTCTCTGGATGATCTGGCAATGTTTCCTTGTCAACATGGGTATCATGCTCCATTGTGAGCTGCTCAAACAGTTCAGAATGGAGCCTTTGATGTTATACTCAGGTGTCCATCAAGCCCTATCCTCCACCAATTAAGTTATGAGCCTTCTACACATGTCCAAGTCCTAATAGTGATACCATCTGTCAAGAAATGGGAAATCTTCTTGATGTGATCTGTCCCTTGTTTGATCAGTTCTCTCTTGTACCTGCATGGTAGACTCTGGAACTGCAGCCAAAGTTATATACCAAAAGAAGAATGAACATATGAGAAAAGACCTTGATGTATGTTTCCATTTTCAAGGATAGCTTTAGTTGTTTCTGATGCAGTATAAACAGAGGACAACCAAAGCATATCCCATGACAACACAAGCAGAGCATCAAAGTCCATCATACAGTGAGATGAACACACTGCATGATAGATCAGCCCGCATGCCCTTTCTAAGATAAGTGTAGTCTAGTAAAGGGACTGAAGTCATTAGAATGTTAAAAGGATCTTCTCTCCATGACTTTGGATCTGTTTCAACATTTACAAGAAAATTTGGCAGTGCACTGACTTCCTATATTATGAGAAGTATTATAGGCATTATACTTACAAGTACATCTCCCATTCAGAACCACATTGCTCTTTCAAATCTCTAATGGTTACTCAGACTGACTCTGGCATTCCAGCATCACTTATTGACAGTGGTATAGATATGGCTTTTTTGACAAATTACTTTGATGGTTACTTGAATTCAACTATACTGCATTCTCTATTGCTTGGTGAGCTTGTCCATTAAAGTCAGGATCTCAGTGTCCAATTCTGAACATATATAGGTGTATACAGGTATCTTGGCTGTTACAATATGGAATATCTGTGAGTGTGTGTGTTATATCTATTTTGTTATCAAGACTAAAATGAATAACTCAGCCATTAGCAAGTCTCAGTATATTAGATAAGCTATGGTTGTAGTTATTATCATCCTCTACATTGTGACCTTCATTAGTCTTAGCATGGATTGGTCAATTACATTTCTTGCATTTACTTCTGATGGACAAAACATCTGGACTAGATATTTGAAGGATGTCAACAATGATATTCTGGAAACAATAGGAACAGGTATTCCAGGTCTTATTGGTACTATTCTTGCTGACTCTACTATGGTGTGTGTGATGATAATGGAAATTCTGGTTATAGCTTATTATTCAAATTCCAGATTTGGTGTTGCTGGATAATTTGGGGAAAGCACTGGCTAGTCATTGTGCTTCCCAGCCTTTGTCTAATATGTGGTGTTGGTAAAGTCATACATTTCTTCTGTTACTTCTTGTGATTTACATTCAATCTAGTGTTTAAAATTATAGCCATACACCTAATCTTTATAGATTATACTACTGCTACTTCTTTTGGTCTGATACTTTATGCATCATTCACTCTGGCTACAACACTGTGGTGCACTATGCTCACCATCTATCATATTCTGAGTGTAGGACAAGTAAACAATGGAATAAGAGGTGCACTTGGAGTCTATGGACATGTTATTGAAGTTCTAGTGGAATCTTCTGCTCTTTATTCTGTATGTTTGATCCTCTATGTGACCCTTACTGCTAGCAATAGCTGGGGACATACCTGTCTTGATACCATAACAGGTGTTGCAAGGGTATGAATATACCTATTCTTTTTTAATATATGAATAACATCCTATTTTAAGGTATTGCACCAACACTCCTCATTGGACATGTTGCTGCAGGCCATGCTTGCCCTGATGACTCATGGGATGGAAGCATCATGTCTTCACTCCACTTTGGGCAAGGTCAGAGTCAGACAAGCTCCCAAGAGGATTCCACATTCAGTATCAACCTTAATGGTGATCCTGAAGCTCAGACAGAGGAAACAGATGAGTCTGAGCATACTCAGACAAGCTCTCAGAGAGTGTACAGTGATGATATAGAGGCTCAGTTGGAGGAAATTGAGATTACTTAGTCAGGTTAATTTCTTCTTTCAAGTACTCTTATAGCAATGATCACCTGAGCAAAGTCCTGATCTACTTTCATTCACTTGTCTCCTGCACTCTCTTGGTTCTTATCCCCAATGTAACCTACATTTTATATCCACGATTCATTCCTTACAAGCCAAGACCTCTTTTTCATATGTTGGCATTCTCATTTCTTATCTATCATAGTAGAACTTTAGAAGTCTCTTCAGTAGATCTATATCACTTGTTCTTTCTTTCTCTGTGACTGGTTAATGTTGGAAGGAAGTTTGAAGTACATCACAGGAACTTGTCCTTGAAATGCAATAAGTTTATTAATACTGGATAACCACAAATATCTGCATTGCATTCACCAAAAAGATAACTTTTTAAGACATGATGCTCAATGTAGGGCTAGCAAATTCTCTGTAGAGAGAATTACAGTCTGCTGTTGCAAGATCTTTTGTATACTGCAAGTATACTGGGAGGTAAGAAAACCACCTGCTTCAGAATGGTATGAATCTGCTTCTGAGAGCGGATGAGAACAAAAGAGAGAGACTCAACATCCGTTCAAGGATGTGAGTTTGAGAGCAGGTTTAGACAATAGCGACTAGCTTCTGCACTATCCACTAGCGATACTAAGCCCAAGGCTGCTAAAGTATGCTATGCTTCAAGCTTTGGATGAGGGAATTTATTCCTTTAGTGTGCTTTCGTCTAGATGAGATTCCCCCTTCTACTAGATACAATAATTGTGCTTTTATATCTATGAAGCCGATGATGAGCCTAAACTTCCATGGCAATGGCAAAAACCAAAACTCTAGAGGAGTTTACGGCAAATGGCATGTAGCAGTAATAAAGGCTTTGTTGTTGTGCAAGTGTTTTGGTGCACCTCCGTGCGATGAATTCCTCAAGAACGCAAGTATACTCTGCGACTTTGCAGTCAGCGAAGTAGTACCCTTAATGATTGAGTACTAGAAAACATTGGCTGTAAGCCAGGAATGGAATCCGGTATAACTGGGAATACCGGCAAACCATGAACAAAGTGATGGCAATTAACTAGTAAAAGCCATGGGCAATGTTGATGGAATTAGAGAAAATGCTGTCAAAGAGAAATACCATTTGGCAAGATAACAAATACTGTGATGGCAATGAATGAAGACTGTAGTTGAGAAACGAGAAACTGGCAGTAAAACGAAGATAAGACAAACTGGCGATGATATGAGGGGGAACTCGTGACAGCAAAACGGTGGCTGGGACTGGGCTGGACTGAAACTGAAACTATACTGAGGTTAACGACGGCAAAACGAAACTGATACTAATCCTGAGTCTACACGGAGACAATCCTATACTGAAACTGATGGCAAGATACCAAATACCATGACTGATGATCCTATACTGAAGCTGTTGACCGAAATTCCATGACAGATGCTACTGGCAGCAATAACGATCCTAATCTGAGTCCACACGGGGACATAATGATCCTGAACTGAGCTGGGTAAAATGATGGTGATGTAGAAGGTGAAAACTGATGAAAACGATCCTGGCTGGTGAAAGTGAAACAATGCTGGCAGATTAAAAGATAAAAGCGAGTTGTGGACACCAAATTCCATGTATTGGCGCAATATGAGCATACACCAATACCGTTAGAAGAAAAGCCATGACAGAGAGTATAACTTGGAGTGACTATGTTGTTATTGTCTATCTCCTAGCAAGTACAAGCGATAACGGTGGTCGATAACGTGGATGATGGCTAGTGTCCAGTAACTTCTGTCTAGCCACTACTACTACACTAGTTTTTATACTACAAGTCCGGAATAAAATTAGAATACTTGAAATGAGTCCTTAGTAAGTCCTTAGTACATCGATTGGTAAGAAATGATACAAAACGTGTGCTCCCAGAGTTCTAAAGTAACAGCACCCACACAGTTTTACCACATATAGACTTAGTGATCAGAAAGAATTCCCCCGACATACGGACTCTTGGGCTGCTGTGTTGCTGCGGCAAAGTACACTGAAGGTAGTACACTGAAGTAGATGTGTGTGGCATTTGGCTTGGCATTGTAACAGCCTTAGTAAAGCTGGTGGAAAGGTCACGGTATTAAGTCTTTTGCCATGGAATAGGTATTTTGGCTGTGGCATTCTATTAAGTGATGCTTGATGCTGATGTCAGTGATGGCTGTGCTGAGCGATCAATGATGGTCCTAATTCCGTGAGATTGGCAATCAGGTGCCTGGCAGCAATAATGAAGTGGCGCTTATTGATGCGAAATACGAGCTGGGAAGGAAAGTTGGCGGTAAAAGTGGGTATTGCCATGATTGCAATGGTTGACTTAGTGAAAGTCCATTGAGTGGACAAGGCATTTATTATAATGCTTAAATCCGCGAATTCTGAGCATACAGAGCCTTGAGGCTCATCACCGATGATACGCCGTCTATGTGTTCACACCTAGATTTTGTGATTTTATAACAATACTGTTGCAGGTCTATCCTATACTAGTCATATATCAAGGGCTATAGTTGAGACTTCGGACTGATAGTCAAGTTAGCATGCTACTAGTCGAGTCAGGACTTAGTAATGATACCACTAGTGGGTCAGCCCTACCAGCCAACTGGACTAGCACCTCCAAAGCTAGTATGACTTAGTAAAATATGGTCACTAGTAAAGAATACAGCTGCTAGCGCCCAAACAAGAAGTAAGAGCCCACACAGATCTCGACTATTCAGTCGCTAGTGGACTGATCTGGGCATGAACACCTAAGTCAGGATGACTAGTCACGTGAGCACTTCTGAAAGGACTTAGAAATGAACCAGTAAAGGCATAACCCTTAGCCCAGATCTGGCTAGTGTGATACAGATCTCATACGATCAGCACTAGTGCTGCGCCCTGATCATGATCGAGCAGTTGCTACAGGCACAGTTACCTGACTATTCATATAGCCGTGTCACTAGTGGAGCACCGCTGGGCAAAGGGTGTGGAAATGACTCAATAGCGGAGTCCCTCAACCTGCTATCTGACAGAAAGAACAGGCTAGGCCAACTATTGCATGATTATTCACCATAATTCGTGACTAGCCAAGATATCCTTACCAATATTACCCCTAAAGAATCTATTTATATTTATTCTGTACCTGTCTCTGTAGTATATAAGTAGTAGAAGGGGCAGCCTCGCATGCCAGGCAAGCCATCCCCATGATTGTGACCTACTAGTCCATATTCTAGTGCCCCAATTAAAGGCTTTTGTGCTTAACCTCGACGAAGTGTCTACTAGTTGCTTAGTCACCTATAGTATTGAACGAATTGAAGTGTCTTAAAGTTACTATTCCGTCTTGGAGTGACTCAGAGCGTTTCAAAGTTAGTTAAAGTATTTTCTTGGAGTTAAAGTATTTGTTCTTAGGCCAAGAGTGCCACTAGTTGAGCCTAGGGTGCTGCTAGTCAAGTGTAGACTGCTTGTGAGACCCAGTATTTGGCCCAGAGTGCCACTAGTTTCGAAGTATCAGAGTTAGACCGAGCGCAGTTGCTCAACCCAAGTCACTATTCATCCAATCGTGTCTTAAAACCCTGCTAGCGCGAGTATTACATCTTGTGTAGCTCACTAGTACCAAATATATGTCTTTAAACAACCTTTCCCTAATTTGTTGAAGTCTGCAGAGTGCTTCTATCATACTCGAAACACCTGAACTCAATAATATTGGTGATTAGTGTAGAGTAGTAGAGGGTTTTGGTGTTGTGGTGTTCATATCCATTCACTAGCCTTTTGTCACTCGCCGTTACCGAGCACATCACCAAACCAGTTTCCTGACCCTATACCTATCTGCACCGATAGCCCTTAATAAAACCTGATATAGCTAAACCCCCTGTGAATGAGTATAGGACCCAATCTGCTCATGTACGAATGAGTTCAGATATGGATAATTCCCAGTGTGCCTCTAATCAGCCTGGCTCATTTGCTGTAAACAGGGGGCTATTCGCCCCACCCCTATCTGGCTAAACCATTTTCCATCTGAACATAGAGGTCCCATCTGGTAGCAACCTGCTCTGCAGTAGCCCCCTATTTGCATCCCTAACAGTTTTTCCCTAGGGGAAACATATGGGATTGCCTGCTTTGATGATATTGAGGGCGGGAGCACAGGTTTCCAATGGCAGATGGCAGTCTGTTATGCCTGGTCTTTTCCCCTATCAGATCCTGGTTCCATGCTCCATGGGCTGAGTGGGTGTGTGTACGGTGTAGTTGGCTAGGAAGGGTATCATTGGCTTGTTTCTTGAACAAGGTGAAAGCAAAAATTCAGTGCACACATGTATGTGGTGTGGTACATCAAGGGGACTCTAAAAGTACAATACTATAACACTGATTGCATCCAGGCAATAATCATACACATCATGCTTAGCCTCAGACCAACACTCAAATGTCAATGCTTCTTCCTCTGGGCTGAGTGGTTCTCCTGCTAGCTCCAAAGCCCTTGTACTCTGGCTGAACATCTCTTGTGGGCTGATTGGCTTCAGCCTTGTGGTGTGCAAACTCCCTCATCTTCTTCTCATTGATGAGCCTAAATTTCTGTGGCAACAGCAAAAACCAAAACTCTAGAGGAGTTCACAGAAAATAGTGCATAGCAGCAATAAAGGCTTTAGTTGTTGTGCAAGTGTTTTGGTGCACCTTCATGTAATGAATTCCTCAAAAATGCAAGTATACACTGTGACTTTTCAGTCAGTGAAGTAGTACCCTTAATGGACAAGTACTAGAGAGCACTGGCTGTAAGCCAGGAAGGGTTTTGATATATAAGAAGAAACAGAATCCAGTATAACTGGGA